AAGAATACTAATGAATTCCTTTGCATAAAAGCATCATGGATAAATCTACATGAATTATAAGGAGCTTGTAATGAGATGGCGGATTCATTAGTTGATTCATTTTGTGCAGTGATGGAAAGGACCAGAAGCGACGATGAAAGAATTTACGACGTAAAGAATTATATTGAGGACAGCATAAAAGAAAGTGATACTCGACAGATTTACAACAAGGGCAAATTCTTCTATCTCTCGGAGTTTTGTTATGCCTATCGACTTCAATCTGCAGTTTTAGATCACCAACGCGAAATTTGCACAGTAAGAACTTAAATTGTCGTCTAGTTTAGAGTTAAGGTAGGACTCAAGTCTAAAATTAATTTTAAAATGTTTAAAAAACCTTAGTTTACTTGATAAACCATAACTGAACGTACTGATCTTGATTCGTCTTTCTTAATTTAGTAATATTTAGTAAGTTTGGATCATGAAAAGCAGAGGAAAACCCCGATTCATTTAAGATGGTTTTAATGTCGATAATCCAGTTATGTTTTCCATTAGCATCGTCCTTACATAAAACTTCGTATATACTGAGGATAAGAGGATTATTGGAGGCAACAACTTTTAACTAGTATTTAATTATTTGAACCTTACGCAAAACATATAGGGGAAGAACCCAAGTTCACCCAATGCAGCGACTAGAGGGGTAGCCTTGCCCAAATGTAATAAATATCGAATAAAATCATTTTGAACTCGTTCTAAATTTGTACATGTCAATGCACCCCAAACTTCACAGGCGTAAGTAGAACTGACACGACAAGCGATCGAAACAAAATGCACTTGCTCGTAATATCTAAATGTAAAGGCCTCAATAATGAAAGAAGACGGCCGAGTGCCTTTCTTCCCTGAGAGGTAATAAGCTTGAACAAATTGACCATTTTGATAAAATAATAAACCGAGATATACATACTCACTAACTAATTCCAAGCGAACAGAGTTTATAGTAAATATATAATCAAAATTTAAACGACCTTTATGAAAAATAAGTATTTTAGATTTATTAACATTAATTTAGAGGTTCCACTTAGCACAATAAAGGTTGAATTTATTTAGTAAAGTACAGTAATAAGGTAATTCGGTCAATTTATGAAAACTGAATACCAAAATCTAGAAAAAAATGTCCCTTCGCTCTGTGATAGCTTTAACTAAACAAATCTTGTCGTTGGCTTTTTAACGCCAAATTGTATTTAAAAGTTTTTTTTTAAATTGCAAACCTTTTTGGGAGGTTAACTATGTGTGGATAAGCCAGTCAGGAATAGTGTTCACAGTCGAAATTTAAGCCTATATACAAATCCATGCCATGGGTGTCCAAAATTATCTTCGTTTGAAAGATAAAAATGCGAGTCGTCTTTTCTTGAGACACTACCATAGGCCGAGAAAAGACATCATATAGAAATAAGAAAATAAATTCTTAGTTTGAGATATTTTTGAAGGAATTATGCGATTTTTCGTACATTTCTAGTACTTCTGAAGACTATTTACATATTCAGACCCAAATCAACCCCCAAAATGGTGCATCTGCAAAATAAACGCATAATTGTAGTGAAATATGTACTCAGTTTTTAAATAACCCTTTTAAAACTAGTTCAGTTTGATCAAGTCGATACACAGATATAAATAACATATTCTACAAATATTTTCAGGTAAAAATTTTCCGTAATGCCCTTTAAAAAACAATTCTACAAGTGAGCATATATTACTTTGCCTGCATATTTAATTACCTGACTTTCTAAACTTAAAAAAAATCAAACAGCCCCTTTAAAATTTTATCAAGGCCTATCAATATCTTCTATTGTATGTTTAACATAAAGCCTATCAATATCTTCTATTGTATGTTTAACATATCCAATGTCTTTCTTTGAAGTTTTAACACCACGATACTCCTTTTTTCGCTTTTTATTATCAAAAATCAAACGATTTATAAAGAGAAAGAGACGGGTTTACTGTAGAAAAATTGCTATTTAAAATGCGATAAGTATAATTAAAAATCATAATGATATTCTCATACACAATGGGTAATGATCTCCATTACTTAATCTGTAGGTGTAATGAACGGAAGTACATCGACAGCTTTATGTTTAGCCACCGAGAAATCTTGTTTTCTTACCAGACCTTTTCCCGACGAAGAGATAAATAATTGCCCTTGAAATTCCGTGCAAGAAAAACCTACTTCAGATTATGTGTTCTATTTTAGGCAAAGAAAATGACAAAATTATTCCAGTACACAATAGAATATAAATTTACTTTCATGCATGATATAGTACTTTATGAAGGTATACAATCGCCATAGTAGCCTATAGTGGTATAATATAGTTATAACGTAATTCAGCTCAGCGAGTAAACCATTATTTTGACGACTGTACCCGTTCAAACGCCTGTTCTAAAGTCTAGTAGGTTAATTGGCCTGAAGTCTGAAGCAAAGAGAAAGAATAAACCAAGAAGGTGTTTTAACCATCTGAACCACATAACGAACCCCTTAATCCAAAAAAAACAACATAAATGGTGAAATATTGGTAGCAGCTAATGAAATTTGCACATGAGGAATTTTTTACTCATAAGAGAGTAAGTATTTGATAATGATAGTTGTCTAGACGAGTAAGCATACCCCGTATGGCGTCACATTCGTCATTGCTGCTCAACATATGAGACAAAGAGGAAGGCAGATATGATATATAATTTCATGCAATTTTAACAGTTTAGATGGAACTGATCACAAAAGTTATATATTTTATGACAAGAAAAACACCCGCAATCAATGAAGAATTCTATTATGAAAAGTGTTTATCAGTGGACTTATATCTGGTGTCATAACTATAACATACAAAAGAATCCCTCTATAATCCAAAAAATCCATAAAACTAGGTAATAATTCATTAAAGTAAGTAATTTGGAACATTCTTAGAAACCCGTCTCAATGATTATTTAGTTAAATGGATATATCTGTTAAGTCCAACTCCCTGATGAATATATAGGCCTTTTTTATAAAGAAGATTATAATGGACTATAAGGAATGGAAATTCTGTATATAAAGAGAGTCAGTGTCTAAAGACAGATGGGTAGGCCTACTCTGTAAATTCCGTATTTCAAGGGAGGTAACATCTGACAATGAAAATTGAACTGATCAAATCCTATTGGATATAGTATGATTTATATGGAAGGCGAAATGGCTTTTTATTCAAAGAATGGTACAAATTATGAATTTTCAATAACAAATGTTGAATTAAGCGTGCAAATTAAGAGATAAGAATTTAGAATTAAGAATTAACAAATAGCAATGAAGAACATTGAATACAAAGCCATTTCACCTTCCATAGATTTATGGGTGTATAGATGAAACTTGACAGACATGGTAACTTTCAGTTAAGTATATTTTTGAAGAAAGCCATGATGATGAAATTTTCTTCAACATATTGACCTACTCGCCATGAAAGATGCAACGGCGGTGAACAATTATTTTTTGGCCTACTTATAAAGCGATATGCTCATATTTTGTTGATGAACATAGGCCTTTAGCCACACAATCATTATCAATTTTCATAATTGTAGCCAACCAATCGAACCCACATTTAATGGTTTGGAGGCAAGTATATGAATTAGTCTATAGGAAATAAAAAGATCGATTGTCCGGTTCTTCTCTTTCTTTACTTAACTCATTAAAAACGAATAAGAGGTCATTATCCTACTTATATATCCGTTTTCTAATTAAATAATTGGTAAATATGTTGAAGCATCAATTATCTCCCATGCCATATGTTTAAACGTTTCAGGGATTTCAAAAATCCTATATGTATACTGTATGGCTTAAACGATACAAATTCCCCTCTCCATCCCTACCCAAAATATTAAACTATGATAATTTGGATTTTATATTTTAAAATGATTTAAAGACTTTATTTTACAAGTCGTTGGTGTAGTATAAAAATAGTTCATCTTGTCACGTTAGAGTAAGGAATAAACAGAACTAACAGATAACTAACAGAACCGCGGAACTCTCTTCATCAGATTCAGGTTTACACCATTGCTTTGCATTTCTGAATAATTTGCTTATCTTGTAAATCTTGTTAGTAGGTAATTTTCCATCATGTATTCCAATGCTGAAATTCACAGTCTCTACTTGTGACCTAGGCCAGTGCTTCTATAAGAGAGTTTCTCTTATAAAACCTTATACTAATAACAGAAACTGTATTGCCTAGTTTGTATGTGTTTTCTCGCAATCTAATATAAAGGGTAAACGATTAGGCCTATCTGTGAATGCCCTTCTTTTTAGAGGATAAAGATCCAGAAGTAGTGCCTCGTACAACTGTAGAAAACTGAAAGATTATGTTTTTGAGCCAATGATTGGCTTCAGTTTATAAAAATTTGAATAATTTTTGTTGTTGTTGATAATATTGTTTAAAAAAACGATAGGTAAAACACTGTTGACCTACGACGAAATAGAATGGATAATCCCGTATATTCCTCTTTATTGTATTTCTATTGTTATTAATTTGATTTTGTTTATTTTTTTTTGTAAAAGATAATTTCATTATACGTTTTATTTGATAGCTTATTCAGAAAGTTCATGAATTTCAGTCAGAACATTTTAATTATGTAAATTAGGTTAATTCTAGTTTCTTCTCTCTTTTTAACTTTTAAATCTTTTTTATTTCGTTTTTATTAATCTGAATTGACAATAATAAAGATGTTGACCCCATTCTAGTGATGTCATGTCATCAAACATCGTAATTGGCTCATTTATGTTGCAATCTTTTAATGGTGACAAAGCCCAACCCACATTTCTCTTTAAAACTGTCAATCATGGGTGAATATATGATAAAAAGTAAACAGTGAAAGATAAGTGGATTGGTATCTATATCATATTATCAGGGGCAGTCATATTTAAAATTATTTATAGTCATGTGATGAAGGCGGGGAGAATCAAATATATTTAACGTTGGTATAAAGACAAGAAAAGTGAATCCCGGAAGATATCCCCACCAACCAGGACCTAGTTAATATTCTCCTGAACTAATAGTACGATCAGTTTACACACGACTTGAGCAAGGTATAAATAAACCAGTACAACGACAGTTTATAGGAAAGATAAAGAAAAGATCAAGGCAAATAACTTCTACTGTTCTTACAACCTAAGCATAATATCGGCAGATATCAGAACAATGCTTTCAGAAAATAATTTAAAATGTGTTATAAGAATATTTAGTTTATTGTTCGTTATTGAGGTTGTATCATCAAGAAGACCAAAACTATGCGAGGTAAGAGTTTAGATTTCTTATTGCACAAATAGGTACACATTTTGTTTAACATAGTATAGTGTATACCGGTATATATGACACATTACTATTATTTACAGGTTAACTTGTAAAAGTATACCAGGTGGATATATAATCATTTTAAAAATACACGAGACATTTAATTCATAATCACCTTTATGTCCATTTTTGGAAAAAGGAGAATCTTGTGTGTATCGGAAGAGATTGTAGCATAATGATGCTGCCAGAAACCAATTTCAATCTGTTGGCATGTATTACTATTTTTTTTATAGAGGTTTGTTTGATTTCTAACTGAATTTGATAGTTAGAAATGAAATTTGAGCATCCTAGGAAGTATGAAAACTGATATGTTTAAGACTTTTAGTGTTGAATCCTCTGGTCGTCTGATACTTGAAAGAGTGTAGTCCGAATGATGCTTGAGCAGTGCATCTTTACTCTTACACCTTACATCTTACATTTTAATCTTGCAAGTATAACTTTTTGTCGGCTTCTAGACCCATGGATCCTGAATTGAATTCCAGTTTGTACACCTGCTTTTTACTTTTGATTTGAATTACATCAATGCAAGATAAACCCTTTTCGAAATTTTTAAAACCGATGAATTATTTATAATTACTTTTTTATGACTTCCCAGATGACACCATTGGGTTAACCAAGATACAATTTTCGCAAAAATAGCCCTACCAATGTTAAATATTTATGTCTATTGGCTAATGATTTTTTACCAGAATTGACTTGCTTGTTTTTTACAATTTATGTACAAATATTTAAAAAAAAAACTCATTTGTGTTCACAAAGTGGTCAATATATGGCTTATATATAGTGAACACAGATTTTCAACGACCTTGATCTTGAATTTTCAATGCATAAGGCAATTGGTTAAAGTTACTAAAACTCTGTGTAAATGTATATAGGTTCCTAGAATCAGACAGTTCTTAAAATTTCATAAAAAATTGTTCATTTTTTTACTTCTTTAATTTCGTGAAATTACATATACGTGACTTCATAGATCCTTCCAAATTCGAATAACGCTATATACATAGATAATAGTTTACCCCATACACAATATCGTGTTATTGATACAAGGTATGATTCACTCATATCATTACACATTACTCAATGACCCTTTTCACTACAGCTTACCTATTCCCAACAACAAATCCCTTAAAATAAGGCAGTATTGAATGCAGCTTATGACTAATTACAGGAAGTAGTGTAAAAATTGAACAACAAATATAGCGTTCTATTCATCTTAAAGAAATGTTGTTGAATAAGGAGTCGCGGGTATCGAATTTCTAATTCAAAATATTTCCGTAATTTGGAATTTTTTTTCCGAAAAATCGTTTACGTCGAATTTTCCCGAAAATTGGCAAATATCATGTAGCAAAGTTTCGTCAGCGCCAAATCCTACAGAAAAGGTAATCTTACTCCACACGAGTCTTTGGAGGTGATACGTAATGAACTAGATAACGGCATATATAGCGCCTAACATACGCAATCGTTCGAACTTGCACTTCATTATATAGTGTCAACTGGAATCAACAATTGCAATCTTTAGTTCAAAAATTCAAAGTCTTCTAAGTCAGATACGTTTTCTGTCAAAGGAGTGTAACTTGTGCAACCATTTGGCTGGACTATATGTTTCATATAAGTTCTCTGGAGTCTCTTAGTTATAAGTGACTTGTAGATATCCGATGCGTTTGATTCTGTTGATTTCTCGTCAAGTAACTCTGTCATGTCCATTTGTAAAAACTAGATACAGTGTCTTGGACGCAGCTCGTTTCCTAAATATCTCCATAAATCTCAGAAGCATGAGAGTATTTATCAAAACTTGGTTCCTTTAAAATGCTACTATACTTAAAAGATCCGCAAACCCTGGTAATAAATACATGTACTCAGATACATAGCCGATAAAGTTATATGTACTAAAAGGTAACGATATGATCTCAATTAAACAACAATACTGTTTAAAAAAATCGGTAAATTGTCGTTTTCATAAACACCAATAAGAATACGGGTTTTGAATTGATGTCAGTAGTTTATTAGGTGTAATAATGGTTGATTTCTATTCAATATTCACACATTTCATATACTATGTACTTACTAACCTTATATATATCAATATTATGTTTACCTATATTATATTTATATTTTGTTTGATTGGGGTGAGGATAGGTCGATCTAAGTATTTCTATTGCCTTCTTCAACAATTATAGTCAAATATTATGGGTTAAAAACCACCGATGTTTATTGTTCTGTTATAATTATCAACGACAGCTATACGCATAACATAATAAACACCCACAAATCAGTTTATGAAATGTAAGGTCTATGCTCAGTGGTGATTTTAGGAAACATTATGCAAGAGAGTCTAGCAGGGGCCACAATATTATCCAGGGTGGCCAAAGACTATTCTTTCAATATGTAAAATGGTAAAAGGAAATGAATGTGTGTGTATTGGTAAAGCCCTCGGCAACCACACAGAAACGCCACCCTATATATACTATCAAAATTACTAAAGGCATTGGTGGGTGTAGAATTATCCCATCATGCTGTAAGTGAAGGCCGGGCTACTGCCTTTAATGTTAGGGTTCATGTAGACCTCTACAGACAGAAAATTATATGTTAGATCATATTTAGGACATAGAAAATATTCCAGTTGGAAGTAAATCAATCTGGTTTCCAATGGTAAATCATACTTGAAGACATTCTTTGATCTTTTTGTAAAGTAAATTTGTGAAAATGTCACCAATTATTATATTTGTATCATGGTATCTTCAACGAGACAGATTCAAATCATATTTTATTTGTGGTTGGTTATTTCTTGAAAGGTTAATTTAGCGAATAAAGTAGTGTGGGCGTTGTGGTATTTTAGATTAACTTTATCAATCAGGAAGCTATGTCTGTAATATTGTTTGTATGTATTGTATTTGATAAATATTTAAGAAATATCTCTATTTGTAGAAGTTACCAATTGATATGCATGACATTTCAGTAATTAAAATCGATTGTAAATCAAGATGTATTATATTTAATTTAAATGGTGAAGTATTGAAGTCAATTTTAATCGAATGGATGGTTATGTTTTGGGAAACCAAGTGTTTGTCCTACAGAAGTCCTGATGTTGAGCTATTACACACAAACATAACGTAACATACATAACGATTTCGTAATGCGTAATCGAATCAATTCAACCGTTTTATACTTTATATTTGCCTGATACCGTAAGGCATTATTATTATATATTTCAGAGTTCAGATATCAATATCAGAGGACATCAAGGAGTGAAAATTGAACCATTTAGTGCCAGTCGAGTAGAAATGAGTGTAGAAGGACCTGGTTTTGGTGCTGCTCGGTAAGATTAAAGACTTTTACAGCAAAACGTCTTTCAATTAACTTCCGTAACGAGTATCCGGTAAAATTATTAGAAAATAAAGAAATCGTTAAAATCAATGCTTCCACCCCCACAATTTACTTGAGTTTTAAATGATTAATCGATAATCCAATAGACACTTTAATATCTAGTCTAAAATTGTCAAATAATATATTTACAAAAGACTTTTACACGATTAGAATAAAGATCAAGAGACTAAATTATGGATCGATATCTTTATCTCTGATATTTGATATATTTTATTTTTGATCGGACAGATCCATTTTTATATGACATTTCTTTTTTATTCCGAATTCGTTTAAAGTACAGTACAAATTGGGAACTTTCTTAAAGCTATGACTTAAAGGACAACACAATTTTCAAGATTTAGCCATTACATATCTCAGATATACTGCTTTATAACCATTGTCATATATTTTTGTCTCTGAGGTAGGGTCTTTTCCATATACACCACTCGACAGACATCTCCTGAGACACAGTTAATGGATAGACAATACCCAAACCAAAACAAAGACAGATTTAAATATTGTTAGATCATTTTCAGATAACCAAAATCAAACAACAAATGCCAGACCCTTTCTTCAGAAATAATTACATTACCAGACCTTACCTTGCCTTACAATGTCAGGCTGTTGTAGGTCCGATACAACCAATGTCAGCCCCGCTTATAACTAGACTACCAATGTCAAACCTTAACATAAGTGCTTTACAGACAGCTTAGGCATTACCGAGCCTTTACAATGTTTGTCAGACCCTTCCAGCTGCAACTAATACCAATTATTTTCAGAACATTTATAAACACAAGAATTATCAGTCCCATACATATAACATTTCAGACCCTTTCAGACACAACTAATGTCAATCGGTATTCACATAAGATATCCAACTCTTTCAGATACAACCCATTGCAGACATCCCTTACCAGACACAAACCCAACGTCAGATCTTGACAGATACATACCATGTCATGTCAGTCGTTTCAGATTAGGTAATGTCAGACCCTTTCTGTTGAAATGTCAATCCTTTTCAGAAACTACCAATGACATTCATTCACTTAAAATATCAAACCTTTTGATACAACCAATGTCAGACGCAAACCTTTACAACGTCTGATCTTAATATAAATCCTTTTCAGACAATTCCTATATCAAGGGTTCACTGAAAATTTTAAACCCTTTCAGGTGCAAACAAGGCAATGTCAGTTTTTTATTACAGATACAGACAACTTACTTTCAAGTTACTTTCACGATTTAACACATACAGTCCCTTTCTGATGCAACCATGGCAAATACCAGTTTAAAATATTCAAAAGCGTTATGTATTGTTCAGGCAATGTCAAACACTTTTTAGATACGGGAAACGTCAGATAGCATTATCAATTACAAACTTTGCTTTACTATAGTTTTACTTGATAATGTCTTTAATATCAGTATGAACTCGTGTTTTCCTTTTGCTTTAATGTATACTGTGTTTTTTTTATATTTTCTAGTACGGATGAAATGAAATTTCAGTTTAAAAGTAATGGTGAATCTGGTATATTGTTTTATGGATCTCGAGATAAAAATAACAATGAAATGATTGTATTAAGATTACGAGGTGGATATTTACATTATTCTATGAGGTGTTCTATTGCTCATGTTCATTTGAGAGTACCAACTGACAGATTGGACGATGGAATGTGGCACACGGTAAGGATTTAGATGCAAATATTCTTCAAGATATTCTACCTCTTAAGATAACCAAAAAATTGATTTCTTTGCGGCCAAAATGAGTCTTTGTTTATAAGTGGACTTACCTGGTGTCAACAGAATCCCTTTATAATCCAATAAATCCATAAAACTAAGTAATAATTCATTAAACGAAGTAATTTTGAAACATGCTTAGAATTGTGTTTTAAAAATTGTTTAGTTTGATGGATATATGTCTTAAATATAGATATTCTATTCTTAAGTCATGTCCATTCTAATAGGTAGTATACAATGTCCATTAGATGTCAGCACGTTTCGGTGTTTTTTTTTCTGTTAAATTCCAAGTAGAAAACAACAATTATTATTGCAGATTAAGCTCATCCTTCATTCTTAAAGTTATAAATCATCAAGACGATTGAAGATATAATAGTTTAAAAGTGTAGTAATGAAATAGCCATAAATTTTCTCAATTGAATGTTTGATGTCGCAATATGATATTTTGTTTTTGTTGTAAGAATGTAAGTATGATGTATGTTGTTGCTATAATTACTGGTATTATCAGGTTTAAATTTATGTTTGAATGTCTTCAGGTGAAGTTTTTCCGAGGAGGGTACAAAGGATATATAGAAGTTGACAAGAAAATATATTTCCAACCATACCGAGTGAATTGTGGTGGTTTCAACTATTTTATTTTTGGTGGTGTGCGTCCAGAACATTCTGATAGAATAAGTGTCCCAGAGGTTAGCAACTCCATACTATTTATTAGACATAAGCCCTACATACATTAGTTAAAGAAGCTCTACAAAAGCCGGGGCAACCTCTTTTCTGGGGCGGGGCGGGGCACCTCAGCTTCCCACCCACCATTTTGAAACGCAACTGCATCCTCATAATTAATGTAGGCCAATATTTCTTTTGTAAACTTTTCCTGGGCTGTCCACGAGATATTGTTCCAAACAGCACCTTCTATACGACATATCCATTGTGAACATATCTTTTCCAGAAACATATACAGGAATTGCTAGTGAAATAAGCGAACTTTTATTTTAAGCATTATTAACTCTTCTTTTCAGGGTAAAGGTAATCATTTTGATGGTTGTGTAAGAAATGTTGACTTGACGGTTTCAGTGAAGAGACATATTTCATATACTATGGTATCAGTGTGTCAGTGAACAAATTTCACATTGCGTTTTCTCGATGGGGGATGTAAGAAGGGATTTGGCGCCGTCCATAATATGTGACGAAATGTGTGTAGATTGACTGGTGTTGACTTTAAACGTACTCAAATCGAGAGCATAATGACTTCTCCAGAAGTTTCTCAAAGCTTCACACTGGAACAACTTTTGTCAAAGTGTTCAATTTATTTTTATGTGATAGAACTGTGAATTTTCATTTAACTTAGACTTGTCAACAACTCAACAATTTCATCAAGAAAAGTTCTATCTCATTGTAATCATATCTCTACATGTATTGTATTGAAACATTGTTATAAAGACTTGTAATTAGAAAATTGACACAATCTCGTCATTATTAATGATCATAACTGATCAGTACATTCGAAATTAGATTGTCCAAACATCTTGTGTTTTGTACTTTGCTTTAGTCGGAATGGTGTCAGCAAAGATGAAACAGATATAATATATGTATTTATCGAACTTTTCTCTCATAAAGAAATGCCATTCCTCTATAACATTCAAAATGTTGGATAAGACAGGAAGGCACTATCAAAGGTATTTTAAAAGAAAATTCGCTTTATGACATAATGTAATAATGTATTCGGATATGTTTTTCGGTGTATATTGTTATATCAATCTTTTGAATTTAATGTTTTGTTACGTTTAAAAGCTACTCAAAATATTGTTTCATTATTAAAATTATTAATGTTCTTCTTGTTTATATATTTATTTACTGCAATAGTCACCTTTCTTTTACCATAACTGTTTGTAGACCGAAACATTTGCCCTTATTCCATAAATATATTGGAAGTTGTCGGCTGGTGTAGAGACAGAAAAACTAGGCCCTGATTTGTGGAAATTTTACGCACATCCGATGCGACGCGTTTTTTTTTTAAACCTAATTATTTAAATCGGATCCACCAAACCCAGCTATTTTTTGAAAGATAGATTCATACTGATCATAACCCCCCTACAATATTTATGTCACGTCTGTGGTTTCATCAATTTTTTTTAACGAAACTGATCTTTCGTCGACTATTTCAAATTACCTTAGCAGCCAAACGTTCAAGTGTCATAGAGTCACGTGATATTAACAAAACGAAAGCTACGGTGATGCCCAGCTTACAGTCATCGTAAAGTAATTAGTTTAATACTATGTTACAAAAAACAAATCTTCTGACGTGTATTAAATTCTCATAAAATATGGCCTGTTTTTTTCTGATTCTATTTTAGCTGTCAAATTGTTTATCAGAGGATTCTGTAAATGTTTGTATGTTAGCGAATACAGCCAATCAGACAGAATGTTTGTGAACACAAAACCATAATGGTTACAGTATTTCTGTCGATGGCTGTATTCACTGGCGTGCAATCCAATCGCTGCATAGGCCTACTGTTAAACAAGAATTGTGGCTATTGCAGCTATTGCAGCCATGGTATAAAGTTCGTAAAAACTTCACATTGTAAAGAGCGGGCGCCCCTAGAAGGTTAGGAAGTAATCACCACCGTTCTTATTTTCGTCCCCATATTTATCGATTAAAATGTATGCCTATAGTACAGAAAGAACCCAGTTTCATTCCTGACTATCAAACATATTCATTACAGTTTTCGAAAATCGGAACAGGACTTTTATAGTTCAATTCAATGTCAAATTAAAGAGCCAAATTTCCGAATAAGTGATAATTCCAATCATGGAGAATTGAATTAATCCCCTGTTAGTTAATACGCTCACCTGTTGGATATTATAACTCTTTCTACAGGCCTCATATATCTATATATATATGCACCAGTTTACCCCCCACAGTGGTTTATAATACCTTATGTAAAAACACATTTAAGGATATAAAGAGGCCAAAGGATCACTATATATTTATTCATTAAAATACAGGGGGTAAAATTACACTATTATATTTATTTTACTCGTACATTTTTATGTTTTATTTCCCATGGCGAGAGAGGAATTGAAAAAGAATTGAGTTTTACGTCCTACTTTGCACCTGATTGGGATAAAGACGGACAATGCCAAGTAATGCACAAAGTTGGGACAGCCACAATAGTCTACTCATTTTCTATTTCCAACTGTCGAGGAATCCGTTCGTTAAGTCTGCACAGTCTGTAGCACACGGGGCTTCGGTTTCATTGGCCAGACGTTTTTTCCATGGCATCCCCTCCTACTTCCATTAGGCTACTGAAAATGAAATAGGGGAAACCAGGTTGAAAATCTTTTTTGTGGCTGCGGCTGTGGCTGTGTTTATTCATACATTTTGATCTACATCTCATTCTGAACCATAACATGATACCATGTGACCATTTAAAAAAATAAATTTTTTGTTAATTTTTGTAAGATATTTGTTGTAAGTTGTTATATATTTTTTTCCACTTTTTTGTCTTCTCAAATAAAAATTTGCCGTTTTAGGTACTTTTACCCTTTAAGTATTTTTTGTGCTTTTTAAGTACTTTCATCATATTTATTTAGTTTTTGAGCTACCATGGACCATCGCTTTAGATCTCATTGGCAATATCCCAGGCAAAATTAATTTTCCCCAGCATTCGTATCTCTATAATCAACCCAACTTTCGTCATAATCAACCCAACTATCGTCATAATCAACCCAACTATCGGCATAATCAACCCAACTATCGGCTAATCAACCAAACTATCGGCATAATCAACCAAACTATCGGCATAATCAACCAAACTATCGACAAAACCAGTATCAGAGAGGAAACACTAATCCCAACCGCCAGAACAACTACCGTCGTCCATACAACCCTGATAACCACCAAAGACAGGAGACCAATCCAGCAGTGAAGATATTATTCCAAATCTTACAATGTCTTCACCATGCTTCCGTCATTTCAAAGCAGGTCAGTGGTTCTCCCACACGTGGTTTTATCTCTAAAATTTCGGATCTCAATCGGTTTGTTAAACCAGCTTTAAAAAATTCTGCTATTTCCTCGGCTATCGAGACAGTAAATAGTGTTTGGGCTAAAAACGTGTCGATAGCACTTAAGAATCATTATGATTCACAGCTGGCTGAAAAAATTTCCTTGATCAAAGCACGCAATATTTCGGAATCAAATTTTAAACAATTCACTTTCGAAGCAATAAATTGGGCTAAGAAGTCATATCGCCGACTCCAAAAAGATGCCCTTGATCAATTTGATAAAATCATAGACTCTTTTAAAGACGTAGGTGTGGTGGAAGACATGGAAGCTGAATCTCAACCAGTTTCTACACCAAACAGACATCAGTTACCATTAATCGCAGATGTAAGACCTACGCCGAAACGCAAAAGAACTCCGTCACCTTCTGGCCTTAGTACCTCGCAAGAACCACTATCCATAAGCAAGAAACCTCACACTCATAGACGTACTTTACCATTACCAACTTTTACTGCAACTCCATCCATACCAATGACGACGCCAAGATCGAACCCTGAAACACCGAAACCTCAACGTACCAATACTCGCCGCCGCTTAAGTTTAACCACCTCACCCTCATCTCCAGCCTGTAAACCACGACGTCATAATAATTAGAAGGATAAATCCAAATGGTCTATTCCCACACTCACCAAACCAACAGTTATCATTGGATCTTCCAACATGAGCAACATCCCGTTCCTACATCCAGATACCCAAGCCGAATCTTACCCTGGTGCCAGAATTCAGCATATCAATACATTACTCTCCAAGATCTCTCCAACAACCATTCCGAAAAAGGTGTTATTTCATGTTGGCCTAAATAATAAACAGGAATCAGAAGAATCCATACACAGAAGGATGCTGGAACTCCTCAAACTTGCCAAGTCGAAATTTCCGTCTGCTACTCTTTACGCCACACAGATTCCTTACTCAAAGGAGCTACAATTAGCTGAACCTCATTTAGTCAATAACCTCCAGAAGTTCAACAGTCTATTATATCATAAACCATACTATTCCTCGCTTCAATGGAGTGGTCAGTGTCATTTCGGATAACATCCACTGGATGTCCCCCACTGCAAAAAGTATTTATTTTTCATGGGTCTCCCATTTAAACTGAACGCGGGGGGAAATGCTCTAAAATTAGGAGAAACTGTGGTTAACCTCAGTTCGCGAAAACTTTCTCCCCTTGAAGAAAGAGTTTTAGATAGAGGTCTAACATTTATTCCGACATCTAAAACTCTTTCCCATGAACCAATTTTATCGTCGGTTGAACACGTCAATAGGACTTTTAAGTTAAATTTCTTTTTTCGGAATAGACTCGGCAGAGGCAAGCGAATACCGTTCATTGAAAAGTCTGGTTGGACTCCACCAGACAGCGCGATTGACTCAGATATTTTGGCTACTTGCGATAAATTACATGAAGAAATATCTCATTTACCTTTGGTGAATGAAAAACACAACCTCACCAAGTTTGAAAGGAAAGCTTTGAATAGCCTAAAAAACGATCAGAACATTATAATACGAAAGAGTAACAAAGGCAGTTGCTGTGTCATTCAGAATAGCAAAGACTACATTTTTGAATTAGAGAAACTATTGAACAATTCTAATCATTACCGTGTACTTGATCAACCTATTTTCATGGAAACTGCGCAAAAGATAAACAATATTTTAAAAACTTTAGTAAACAAACAATTTATTTCTGATTCCCAATATGACTATCTGTCAGCGAAACCCTAAGTCCGTCAACGTCACATTTATACTTTACCGAAGATTCACAAAAACCCGGAAACTGAATGGTCTTTAGCCAATAGGATTCCTAAAGGCAGGCCTATTATCGCGAGCGAATCCTACCGAGTTTCTGAATACATTGACCTACTTCCATTAGCGTGTAAGCATCCGTCATATCTTAAGGATACCACTGATTTTGTTGAAAAAATTAAAAGCTTGAATGTTCCTCCAAACGCAAGATTTATCTCATTAGATGTTACGAGTATGTATACCCATATTGATAATAAAACCGGTTTAGACGCTGTCCGAAAGGCCTTTCTTCGAAATCCCTGCGTAGATAGACCCGACAAAGAAATATTAGAACTTTTGTGATTATATCTAACGCGAAATGACTTTGCCTTTAATGAAAAAATTTATCTCCAGACTTCAGGCACCGCGATGGGCAAAAGATTTGCGCCGAATTATGCAAATATCTTTATGGCTGAGTGGGAACTGGAAATTTCTTCCATTTCCCCTTTTGAACCTTTCTTCTATGGAAGGTTTCTTGACGATATATTTATTATTTGGACCGAGTCTTTAACAAATTTTTGGCAATATTTTGAAATTTTAAATAATCACCACCCTTCTGTAAAACTAACTGCGAATATTTCTGAACAAAGTATGGATTTTTTGGATACAACGGTATTCAAAGGACCAAGTTTCTCTCAAACAAACAAATTAGACATCAAAGTATTTTTTAAACCAAGGATACTCACCAACTTTTATATAAAAACTCTTTTCACCCAAAACATACTTTTACGGGAATAATCAAATCACAAATTTTGGGTTTTTTTTAGAATTTGCACTCAAAAAGTAGATTTTGATGCAGCTTGTAGACTAGTTTTCAGTAAATTAAGAGAGAGGGGCTATTCCAAACGATTCTTGCGCAAAATTAAAAATGACACTGTTTTGGACCTTTTGAAAATTAATGAACCCCCTCCTCCAATAAATAACTTTGGCGCAATACCATGTCGAGGTTGTTGGTGTCGCACCTGTGAACATATCCATATGTCTCATTATTTTCAAAATAAAAAAAACGGAAAAATATTTGAAATTAAAGAACGTCTCACGTGTACGGATAAAAATATCATTTACCCAATTTCGTGTAAAAAATGTGACAAACAATACGTCGGCGAAACCCAGAACGCGTTGCGAACTCGATTTAGCGGCCATCGCTTTGATATAATTCATAGCAAAAATAGACCAATTTCTCATCATTTCAATTTACCTAACCATTCCATTGAAGACCTACTTATCATGCCTATTGAATCAATTCCTGACCCTGATCTTATCAAACCAAAAACCAAACGATTACAGAGAGAAAGCTACTGGATGGACCAACTCCAAACAGTGGCTCCAAATGGACTTAACATCCAGCATGATAATCAAATGATTCCATTTGTTGCAACCTTTAATCATACAGCTGCCAAAACCTCATCCATCGTCAAACAGTATTACAGTGAATTACAGAACAGATTTCCGAATGTATATACCAAACGACTTATAATTGCCTATAAGCGCAATAAAAACCCTAGTAATTTTCTGGTCCGTGGTAGACTCAATCCCATTGAATCCAATAATACTTGACCCCCCCTCTCTATTTTTTAGCTCATTAAGTATAATATATTCTAATCCTTATATATAGATGTTTATCTTTTCAGAACCTATTCATACTCTTTTCTTTTAGAACTGGTAACTAGAAAACTTTCATATTATAGACCTTTGTTTATTGTAGATTACTCGTGGTTGTTTTTTTTAACTTAATACTAACTATGCTAACTTCACCTTATCTTGTATTGAACATTTATCTGTTTATTTGTGAAATTGGCCAGTGCTTTACATAGAAGTTCTTAGGAACTTCTTCACTCTTAACACTAGGTTTCAACAATCTACATCTATAATCTACAATCACATTTAAATTGTGTTCCGTTATTTAATGTGATCTCTATCCCTAAATGTAGCTAAAGGATTATGTGACCATTTATTTGTCATCAAATTTGATCGTTAATGCAGCTGATACAAAAAAAGCGAGTTGTCAATGCAACTTTCAAACGCACGTAGTCGATATTTCGACGATAAGCTATGAACACTATTTCTGATTAGCTTAGCTAAACAATTCCCATTTCTGAGACAAGGGTACAAGGGTACAAGGTGATCAAAGGTGAACATGTTAAAAATGTTACAAGAACCCATTTCTGAAATAAAAAATTATCATCACGTTCGTTTTTTTAAAAGCCCTGGATCGTACCACTTCCCTCCTGGATAATACATGACTTTTGGCCCTACATGTAAATTTATATAAACATTTCTCAGTATATATGACGCAGGTATATTAAATAAATTTCAAACACCTGGTCTACTTTGTAATAATAAGATGTTAATAACAAATTTTGCGGTCAATTATTGAATGAATGTAAGCCAATGATCAAAGATGATGGTATTGATAAAGATTCACTGACTAATTGACTAAAAGTTTTCACTAAGATGTGAGTTAAGATAAAAGATATATTATTGCACTTTTGATATTAGTGAAAAACATCGATTTATTTGTTATGTTCATTTCATTATCCTCCCACTCACTTCGTTTCATTTCTATCAGGAAATTAAAAATCGGCTTTGGGCGATATAAAATATTTTATAACCCAAATTTCCAGCAATATCTTAAGACAGGAAATTTGAAGAAGTGATATCAGCCACCGGCTTCCCTTGTTTTTCAAACTCTTTTCAATATTAGTCACGTTATTGGTATCAATAACCAGACATAGTCGGTTAAAAAATAAACGAACGAAAATAGCAGCGTGGATTTGACAGTAGTTACAAATTAAGGTGGAAGATTCACATGCTTGAAGATGATGTAATACAAAAGATTGACACCACATTTTTTTTTTATCAATTTCCCTGTTTACCATGCAAAAAAGGGGAACAGATTTGAATACAACCCCCCAGTGGCATTTCTGAAGAAAAGAGGCTGACCCCCCCCCCCCCCTCCCCCCAATATCATTTTGTATGGTGAAAGAATGGCCTGAGACTTTGCCCTGATAGAATATGACTTCTTTTACAAATCAGGGACCCCATTTCAATTAACTGCATAGCTAAATGCTAATTTTATCAAGACATTCACAGCATTTGGCAAACACAAAACGTTTAATACATCTTGTCGTATAGGACATCCAGGAGCGAAATCGAACAAATATACTTCTCATAAGAGACCCAGGATTTCATTTCACATTTTGTCTCCGCCTGTGGGAATTTGTCGTAAAATCAACCTTAGTTTTCAATGCAGACTACAGAATAAGCAGGATGAACTTATTCTTTAGAGTAACTCATCTGAATCTGCCGATTTCGGTGATGGATGGTTGTAGGTTTTTAATGGCGTTCAAGTGATTCCCATGACACTCTTTTAAAATTCAATTCAATGTACATATATATAATAGATGTATTCTATCAATCTTATCATTAATCTAGCTCGTCAATTTCTTGTGAGAAGAAATTGTGGGAAGTCAAACGTACAAGGCAATATTTGATAGAGATCTTTATTTGTAAAACCGATATCGCATCCATTCGGTGACCTAAGCGGAGGCAGCAGCCCCGAAAGTAAGTTTTCTTCGGGCAAAATTCTCATGACTAGGTTAGAAATTCGGGCAATCTCAGATATCCCCCGCCCCCTTTCGGACGTAAACCTGGCTCCGCCACTTCCAGATGCAAAAAATAAACCTGATAAAGTTAATCAAAAGCTTATTTGATCAATTCATGAATTACTTAAAGAAACTGTCGTGAAAATCAACCAGCGAGATCTAATCAATATAGTTATATACTGACGTTCATTTATGAAAAAATGCCACACAAACACAAACCCACATAAAAATTAAACCTATGAAAAATAAGTATAGTTTAATACCCTTGAGACCACCATGTATATACATACTGGAAACTGTCATCCATTCTTGTCTTATACAAGCTAATTGGTTATGTTTATAAAAGGTTTATTATATTATAATCATATATAAAACAGTATGTATGAACATCAACGATTATCAACATTATAACATAGACAATTACATATATAATTCACTTAATACAGTCCAGCTGAATAAAATACATTTTGACATCTCTTTTTAATTACTAAGATCATTAGTTCCTAATTTTATTTACATTAGAGTAATCAGCTATTTAAATCACATCGTAAATCATTCACACTGACTCTGTTTGCATAAATTCAGAAAATCTCGGTCAATTTGAATTTGTTTGAATGTCAGACTCAATAGTGGTATAGAAATTTAATTGTTTCTCTTTTGGTACCAACATTCAATTATTTAAGATGCTTGTTTCTGTTATATTGATCTGGAGTCTCATTCTCACATCCTTAACTTGAATCAAATCAAGATTTTAAGATATGTAATTCTTCCATCAAATTAAATCTAAAATCAATTTTAGTGATTGGCCAATCAGTTGAAGAGCTTTTTAAAAGCATTTCCGTGTCTGTTTCTGTGAATAAGGTACCTGATTTTTTACACTTGATGAAATATAGATGGTTAAACAAATACTTTGCCAGGGTTCATAATATTATTAGGATCAAATGTAGATTTCACTTGTTTCATGATCTCTAAGCCTTCTTCTCCAATTTCTCTTAATAACAATTCTTTCTTACCTAATCCAATACCATGTTCCCCTGTACATGTACCATCTAATTCTTGAGCAATTCTACATGAAATATAAACAAATGATGTCATCACTTATATTAATTTGAACAAAAACACAACTTTTAATATTGACAAATATTATAATTGCTTGAAATATTACAATTATTTTCAGTAATTCAAAATTTACAGACTGGAATATGTGAGTATCAAGAGGAACTGAATTGAATAGAGATAAAAAAAAAAAACAATTCCAAAGGTTTCCAATGATCTGCTAAATTTCATGTATGAAGCACTGATAGAATTAAACCAATCGAGCCTCTGATGTACAAGTTTCAAACTCCATTCAGTTTTATACATTCATTTGGTTTACTTCATTTCCAATATTTTGTATTACTTGGTTATATTTCAAAATAACACACTTATTTCTAACTCACTTTGCTATCTGTTTGGAAAGTTTAATGGCTTTTGCTTTTTGATCTGGCATGTCATCATTTATTAAGAAAAGATTATGGAAATTTCCATCTCCAACATGTCCTAGTGTAAAGCCTGTAATGGTAAGGAATAGCTAACATCATAAATTAAACTTACAAAGCCATATTTCTGGCGACATCCTTGACAACTTTAACCTGATCAGGTTTTGAGTGATCAACTGGGAAGAAAACATGGAAATTTCCATCACCAACATGGCCTACCATTGGTCCTGTAAATAATATTTTACTTTTACATATTTTACTTGTTAATCAGTTTTCAAAATAGTCAGAAAGCTGTTCTGAAAGAAAGGAATCTGAAAAAACATTCATAAATTTCATGTATCTGTACCTATGCAATATGCATTAAAGATCAATAGAGAAACTTTAGAAAAAATATATCATAATACAGAGCAAAACCAACCACCATTGTTATATGAACATATCTCATACATATGTCGCTTGGTTAGTTCTGCAGGTTTGGGATTCATGGAATCAACCAAATGTTCAATAAAAGAAGTAGGTGTAAGGCTCAGAATGCATTCCATTTGTGCTGCAAATGATAGACAGTATTCAAAATGGATGAAAACAAAATTGATGGGAAAATTTTGAATGTGAAATCTACTTCAGAAGAGACAGAAGAGCCTGTACAGAATTGTCCAATTGATTGCTACTTAGTACTTACCTATTATACCAGCAGCATCTATCAATTCCTTACTTCTAACTATAACATCAGGTAATCTTGATATTGGTACACAAACATCAGTAGAATATGGCTACAAAGTAAACAGATAGTTGTAAAGAGAAATATATGTATTTAACAGTTCTTGATCAATCAAAATCACAGTGTTTAAAGGAGAACAATGATTTTGAAGATCAATATAATATTATGGAAATCTTACATAAATATATGCTATTGCACACTGAATATTTGAATTGAAATATATCAGTACTGTATATTTAGTTCTCAGTAATTAATTCAGACAGGGGTCTAAGAATTACATGGTGCAAAACCCTTCATTTTGACAAACCCAAAGTGTGATTAATAGTTTGAGGAGCTGTGTAATTTATTCATACAGAATAAAATTCATAAGAAAGAAAAGAAACAAAATTATTTATTTCTTATCTTCAATTTGGAAGTCTTATTAGAAATTCGCTAAAGTGGTCGAGAAGCCGTAGTACTTACTAATAGAGTGAAGAATAGGTATAACAGGTATATAACAGGTATAACAGAAGAGGAATTTCTTAATATAACATAAAACACAAATATAAATCATAGCTCTTACCTTAGATCCAGGTTGTAGAGCCATACAGGCATACACTATATCATGTCTGGCCTTCCATAACCTATTCTTCTCTTCTGCTTCTTCTGCCCATTTAAAATCTGACCCTTCATTCATATTTACTATTTCACCTACATAACATAAACATCAAGATACAATGAAAATATGAAGACATTCTGCAAACCATCTCTATCTGTGACTATCTGTAACACTGTTATAATAGTTAGTTTTTCATTTAAATCACTTATTTGTTCGAAGGAAAATGATTAAACAAAGATAGTAATCATAGGTATAATTTTTACAGTTATCTCCCTTTATCAATTCCCCAAGCCAAGTTTTCCGACATTTATGCATTTGTTGAACATCTTTAAATCAATTATTTCATCAAAGTTTGAACTTATGAATTGCAAATTGGATGTATATTAGGGTGCTTGAATATTTCCTCAGCAATTCTCTCAATATTAAGATCTAATCACAGCCTAGTATTTGACTATTTTGTTATAATTATCTGTACTTTTAAAAGGTAGATATTCAAAAGAAGCTTATAGACTCTAACCCACTTTTTTCGAATTCTTCTTGTGTTTACTTACTCACTAAATCAACCTGCTTTGCCAAAGTTCCTTCATTTCCAGTAAATTCCATAAACAAAGAAGGTGCCACTTTCATATCATATTTACTGTACTTATTAAAGGCATCAATAGCTACTTCATCCAAAAACTCTAAAGTTAAATAATAATCGTTGTAAAAAACAAGGTTTAACTTCTTGGTAAAATTTCAAAAATATTATAAAGGGATTGTCTGTAATTCCTGTTTAATGATGTCACTAATCGCAAATATGGTTTATCACACAAGGCCATGCTTAGTGACGTCATCAAACACTTAGTTTTAGTGGAATTGCAGGAACCACAGACGTCTGATTGAATTCTGGAATTGTGCAAATTGATGTTATCAGTATTCTAAACAATTTAGAAAACCTCTTAACAGTCCCTTTAGGTCAAAAATAATGTCGCATACCAAAGTTATGTATCCAGGAATTGCTTTATCGTAACAATTCTCATGCATATTAATGCAAAACAAAGGAACATTAGAAAGTGTTCGCAGAGACTAATTCAAAAATTATTTTTCAATGTCAAAATTTAAAAGGGCAATATTTATGATAGTACAAATCTCCTTTACATACATATACATGTATAATGATCTGACATACCTATTCTTGCCATCTGTATTCCACATTGTAATATATTGACAGTTGTATCTACTGCGTTTTTTACTGATGGAAAACTACATACAGCACTGGCAGTCTGTAAAATTGCCATAAAAAGAAAAAGTCAATGAAAATGTGAACGAATAATAGCTAAACATTTGTAAAGATTATTGTTGCCTTCAGTCCAATATTGGAGCTCAAACTAAGAAAAAGACTTACACATTCTGGTATACCATATAATCGAAGTGTAGCTTTAGTTATAATACCTAGTGTTCCTTCAGAACCAACAAACAAATTAGTTAAATTATAACCTGCTGAGGTTTTCCTGAAAAAATGATTGTAGGTATCAAATTATTCCTCTTATCCTACATCTCATATAATGCTGTACGATTGGTCACTATTTTGCAGATCTGTTCAGTGCCTATGCATAGTATGAATATGTATAAATATCAAACAATGATATATAATCATTTCAATAATAGCAGATCTGTTCAGTGGCATCTATAGGTAAATGTATACATTTTGGGTTGGTCATGTGATAATGAGATGAGTTTAAAAATATATCCTTGCTGTTTTGATACTTACTTTGTCCTCCTGCCTTTACCAGCAGTATCAAAAACTCTCCCATCTGGCAATACCACTTCCAAATTTAAAACATTTTCTCTCATGGTACCATATCTTACAGCATTGGTACCAGATGCACTTGTAGCACACATACCACATAATGAGGCATCTGCACCAGGATCTGAAATTAGAAGGAAAATCATTCTACCCCAGATCAATAAACCAGGTATATTTAGGGATAGAGATCACATAAAATAACCTCAAATATCATTAAAATATCCTAAAAATTACCAGATGTGTCATTAGTACTAATCTAATTAAAATTTGAGTACAATACTTTTTTTTCCATGACATTTTACTGTCTCAATTGTAATCTCACAAGTTTTTTACAACAGACCCGTTCTAATAACTTAATTTGTATCCATCCTGTTTCCTGATACTGTTGATGAATTGTGGAATAGCTAGACCCAAAGATGCTGTCAGATGGTTTACTTTAGATATCACTAACACAATTTGTCATCATTATCAAGGTGTTCATATAGAAATGACTGTTTTAGAAGCCTTCACCTGGGTTACGTGTATTCTTTTGCAATATAATATTATCAAAATTCTGTATGTCTTTGCAATATTCTAAAAGTCTGTATGAAATTTGTTGTTCCTTTTTCAAGAATATGTTACAAGACTACTGGGCCACTTTCTGGAATTATAAGCTATAGATTGTATTTGATTTACAGTTTGCTTACCTATAGGGAACACTAGACCAGTATCTCTCAGATAACTATTTAATGTTTGTCTAGATACACCAGCTTCAACAGTACAATCAAAATCTTCTTGATTAACAGCTAATATATTGTTCATTTTATTTAAATCTAAACAAACACCTCCCTATAATTAAATATTACATATGTCAATATATTATTAGACATCCCAACCCTTGTGATAATAGTTGGTCATCAAATTAATAGTAATAGTAGGAAATTTATGCATATTTGTTTATCATATCAACATGCACTTGGACCATAGCTTTAATATTTCCAATGTTTAATCATGACTTAGTAACAAGATACACTTAGTTATGTTTAATCTGAAAAAGAGAGAATATCCTGACTATATCCATACTATTTGAGTTTCTATACATACATGTACTTTACATAGCTTGATTATGAAATATGTGCTATTTATGCAAAGTGATATTCTGTACATTATTCCTTCATCTTTGCTGTCTTTTATTTGTTTCCTTAAATATTATCTAATAGTTTGTAAAATTGTACTATGGGCAATTTGCTTTGTATACTTGAAATAAAGCTTATTATTACTATTACATAACATAAAAAACTATAAGCTTACAATTACTACAAGTGTTTTATCACTGAGCAAGTCTTTTTCTCTGTTTCTTTCACCAAATAATCACAAATTAAAAATATTCTACACAAACCTTAATAGCATTAATACCACCTTCCAAACCAGTTCCAGTACCAAATGGTATTAATGGTATGTTGTTATTATTACATAGTTTAGCAACATGACTAACATGTTCTACATTCTCTGCAAATACAACCAATTCTGGAGGGGAAGATCTACAAAAAGAATATTCAAATTGAAAATATTATGTGTTAGCTGCTTATAGCCACAAGAAAAACATGGAATGTTTTGGGTTCTATTTTATTCTGACAGATATTCTCAGCATCTTTCCCTTCTACAAATAATTTTGGGAACAATGGTAATGGTAACGACTAAAGTCTGGCATAAATGTAAACAACCCTCCAAATATGACTTCTATATATAGCTTCTCTCACAAATACTGATATAACTATAAATACTAACTTGTGATATGATTCATCATGACCATGTTGTTCTCTAACTGCTTCAGCTGTGGATACATTTGATTGACCAACAATCCCTTGAAGTTCTTTAACAAGTTTTGAGGATACAGATGGATATTCAAAAGCCTTCAAAATGAGACATTATTGGTACATTTAATTGGATTATACATAAACTCATGTTCCTTCTGTTCACACTTGTTAAAATCATCAGATGAGCTACAGATGAGCTAGTTTGAAAATAATTTGTTAAAATCATCAGATGAGCTAGTTTGAAAATAACTTGGTGCACTGTATCAGTTTGCCTATCTTCTTGTAAGGTAGAGCGTAGTGACAATTGCAGGTGCTTGCTATCTTACCTGAGCGTTAGCTGTTAAACACTTTGTTGTACAGAATTGTCTGACACAGCTTTGGAGTTGTACTGCAAATCTCTTTGAAAACATGACAGGTTGCCGGACTTCAATCAACTGCTTACCATCTATGCCTATGCTCTGTTTTTATTTTGGGGTGAAGGCTGCGTTTTTAATAAAAGGTCAAGGTTAAGAGATAAAAAAAAAAGACATAGTCTTTGTTATCCAGAATATTAATTTCTCGATGGAAATATTATTTCTGGATGACGAAGACTTTGAAAAATGAAAAAAACATAAATACAAAACATATCATTTATCTAGTTTTCTATTTGTAATTAGCAAACATTTTTTTTCGAGGCTATAGTTTTTCTATAAACTTAATATGAATGTTTTACAGATTTTAAACTCCCGACATTCCTACCACTTCCGCTTCCTTTTTGATTTCCATCATGGTGAAGTTGGTGCGTGAAATTTTATTAGGCCGGAAGATCATTGATTTAACCATCATCTATTTCCCAGAGATACAAATTTCTTATTTATACACACATTAAAAACTTCTAACTATGTTATTGATATGAGTTTTTGATTAATGAGCAAGTTTTATCAATTGTTTTTGTCATTGAATATACATGTTCATTTTCCAAATATTGTCAAATTCACACGTGGTTCCTTCATAATATCAAATATTATAAGCTTTGATAGTTATTTAAGCTTTGTGCCTGATCCTTATGACTTCCTTCACTGAAACTGCACATGAACATAACTTATTTTGGACTGAAAATTTTCTAGCTCAAATGTTAAATCAAATTGTCAAATGATATCAACAGTTTTGATTTTCACCAAAACTGCAGAAGAGGATCAATGGGCCATATTACTCTTCTTAGAAGTTGAGTTAAAAGTAAATAAATAATAAATGTGATTTAAAAATTTTTTTAGGACACTTACAAACTCTATGATAGAGTTGTGGAGGTGGGAAGAGTGGTATTTATAGCTTATGGCCCAGATCGTGGTAAACTGGCTGTCATTGTTGACATTATTGATCAGAACAGGGTAACTACTTTAAAATATTTTACTCAAAAGATAGTCAACAAGAATTGACAGGCTGTTTGTCTTTACAACGGTTTGATGTAAGGGTGTAAGTTTCGATGCAAACCCGAGATCAAAATTTTTGATCCCATTTGTTAAATTTTTGTAATCCCGATAATAAAATAAATAAATTGCTGATGATTGGTGTATTTTACAAAGAGTATAATTTAATGCCAGTTGCGTTACTTTTTGACTGATGCTGTCTTTTTATATGCCCACATGAAATGGGGGGCGTATATTGTCGTCACCCATGTCCATCTGTCGGTTCGTCCACAATTGCTCGTAAACACCCTACAAGAGGCAATTCTTGACGGATTTTGACAAAACTTGATGTGAGTGTTCGTAATCACCTAAGGATGAACCCTATCGAAAATCAGAAGAATCGAAAAGTATTTAGTATGAGTTATTGCCCTTGTTCTTTAAATCGCGTTCAATTTCTAGCTCGTAAACACTCTAGAAGGCACAATTCTCAATGGATATTGACAAAATTGGATGTGAGTGTTCGTAATCACCCAGGGATGAACCCATTGAAAGTCAGAAGAATCGAAAAATAATTAGTATGAGTTATTGCCCTTGTTCTTTGAAACGCGTTCAATTTTTAGCTCGTAAGCACTCCAGAAGGCACACTTCTGATGGATTTTGATGAAATTTGGTGTGAGTGTTCATAATCACCCATGGATGATCCCTATTGAAAATCAGAAGAATTGAAAAATGTTTAGTATGAGTCATTGCCCTTGTTCTTAGGAACGTGTTCAATTTTTAGCTATAAAACACTCTTGAAGGCACAATTCTCGATGGATTTTGACAAAACCTGGTGTGAGTGTTTATAAAATCAGAAGAATCAAAAAATATTTAGTATGAGTTATTGCCCTTGTTCTTGAAAATGCGTTCAATTTTTAGCACATAAACACTCCAGAAGTCACAGTTCTTGACAGATTTTGATGAAACTTGTTAACATTATTCAGTATCGCCTCAAAAAGTTCAAAAGAAGTGTATGACTGAAGGTTGAATATTTCATACTGGTAATTGTTACTGTACTGCCAAATGTTTTTATTTAAAATCAGAGCTGCCAATGGGCGTATATTACCTTGCCTGGCAAGCTATCTTTACCTATATTGTAATATATATCTGTGAATTTGTCCACAAGTTTGTTTTAATTCTGTCATGATTTACAGGCATTAATTGATGGACCTGCTTCTGGAGTCGTCAGAAAAGAAATCGGATACAAAGCTATTAATCTAACCAGATTTAAGCTCCCCATTCAAAAAGGCATTTGCACTAAAGCACTTAAAAAAGTATGGGCTCGAGAAAAGATGGAAGAAAAATGGGCTGGAACTGCCTGGGCTAAAAAATTAGATAGTCGTCAGAAGGTATTTATTATATATATTATTTAAAGATATATCCCAAACAATCGAATCAATATACACACATGGATGTTTCAATTCATGCTGCTACTTTTTACCTCATTTACCATCAATGACCTGATGAAACATTTTTGCATCTCTTGTTTCTGGGTCATATAATATTCAACCAATCAATTGCTCTTTCCAGTTTAAGATTTCCAGACTGCTTTGTTGGGATTTTTGGGATATTCATTTTTAAAACTTCCCACTTAAAATTGATTTTGATTGACTCGCAAAAATGATCACTTTTAATGCTACTGAACATAAAACAATATGATTAAGAAAGGTTTTAAGAATTTTATCAAATCAAGTAATACACGAAATTGGAACATATATCTGGAATTTAAGTGAAAATCACATATACAGATTGTCCTTAATATTAAATGATGAACCTTATTATCTTGATAGGAATTGGATAGGAAAAGGACAAATAATATTTTGTATATTTAAGCCGCATTTGACCAAAAGGACTGATGCATACGCATGCACATCCTTGTTAAAAGGCGAGTTAAAGCATCTGTGAGCTATTTATCTTGAAATTATGGCTAAGCATGTTAGTTTTTAGCTAAATTGAAAAAACTGGAGCCTCTTGCGTTTTCTAGTCAATTTTGCCTTTTTTGAATGGAAATTTTAAATGTCCAGTATGTAATTACCAAACTCAAATGACCATAATCTCAATAATCAAAATGTGATATAACTGCAGTACAGCCTTTGTTGTGGTCATAGACCTTTTTGACTTTTGACCTGATTACAGAGGATTAAAAAAGAAACAGGAGGAAAATATAAGTTAAGATAAAGTAGGGCTTGACAACTTTGAATTAAATAAAGTGGATATCACAATATTGATCATTAATACACTGCAATATTTCTGGGTGGGCCTTTTGCTTGAAGTAGATTTTATACCATTCAAAATACTTTTACAAGATTTTTAATGTAAATAATACATGTAAATAACCAACCTTAATGGTCATTAAAAAAAACTTCAGTTATAATGTTAACAGTATTAAATACAATTGCATGGTTACAGTATGATAATAGTTCTATTCAACCATCAGGAATGCATTCTCTTACAATATATGATGAACCTTATTATCTTGATAGGAATTGCCGTCTGAATTTTATAGATGATGTCTAACTTCTGATATTGTTCAGAGATGCTCATTGAATAGTTATCATTACTACACATATTTTTAAACAGAGTTTGTTATGGTCATGGAAATACTTAAAGGGATTATAAAGAGGTTTTCTAGCCTTTTTTTGTGTATCGGGCTATTTAGGATATTTCCAATTCTTCATCTGATGCCTGCCTGACATTCCAGAAAGAGTTAACCGATAATGACGCAGCTCCAGCAAGAGAATTCATAACTAACCTATTTACACGATGGCAGAATTTCCAACTAAATATTGGTTACGGATTCTGTTGTGGAAGCTGCATCAAATCCAGTTAACTCTTTCTGGAATTGCAGGAATCACAGGCATTGAACGAAGGTGTCTCGGATACACATCAAAATCATAGAAAATCTCTTAAAATAAATAGTAACCAGTTCAAGCCAAAATGTTAAAGTTACCACTTGCCAAAGAAAATTGTTTGCAATGGAAAACATCATGAAATATGAATTATTTTGTCCATGTAGAACACAATAGGGTCCTTATTGTTTGTTTAGAATTTACAATTTTTACACAAAGATCTCTTTGGGAATGACCATTGTATTCTATATAAAATGATGAACCTTATTATCTTGATAGGAATTGCCGTCTGAATATTAAAGATGACAAATGAATTTCTGATTATATAGAATGTTTTTGAATAGTTTGACAGTCCAAATAAGTTTTACTATAACAATGATATGTTATCACAATTTTACTTATATTTTAGAGAGAGGCTATGTCAGATTTTGACAGATTCAAGGTGTTAAAGGCTAAACAAGCCGTAAGTAATTTTTGCTTGTCAAATTGTTGATAGTTACAAATTAATCCAATTCATTTTCCAATTCCATGTCATTTATTGCAATAACTATTCAGTATCAAGTCTGCTGGGTATATCATGAATATTTTATTATTGAGAACATTTTGTCTTTCAAGTTCAGTATTTTTTACTGTAAAGTTTCACTACATTCAGTTAAATTTCATATCAAAGCATACTGATCTTTTTTTTTTAGAATTTTCGAATTTACCCAGCTGATGTGTGACTGCAAGGCCAAAAACAGATGGCTTATGTTGAATTTATAACCTTGAAGGTACATTCTTTAATTAACATTTTGGTTATGTATTTTTTTATTTCAGAGAACACGATTAATAAATGAGGAATTTAACAAATTGAAAGCTTCAGCAGACTCCTCAAAAACATCTAAAAAGTCAAAGAAAGCTAAGAAGTAAATTGTAAATTTCAAAATAAATATAGAAAAGAACAGATTTAGTTACTTTTTAAAGTGGACCCATTTTATGCTCACATGGAATGTGCCTTCACTTGTCTTAGGGTCTTAGAGCTGGGCGATATTTGTTTAAGTTTATATCAGGATCACGTTATGGGTATATAAGTTTGTTTTTTACTGGTTTTTGAAAGAAAATTATGAACTAGAAATTTTAAATGTAGCTTAAAAACAATAAATATCTCTAAAAACACCCCAGTCTGGAATATCATGAAAAAAACACCTGTTTCAAATATCAATAACTTATTAAAATTATGTAGATGATCTTATCTGGACAAAGATTTTATGGTGTATCAGGATAACTAGTATATATCACCATATGGCGACATTTCGATATTTTTGATTCAGGGAATATTATTATCAACATAAATTCTTACACCGGTAGGTATTTATCGTGATACCCGTATATCGCCCAGCCCTAACTTGTCCTTATCATTTTTGAGAAATACTTGCTCCTTTATACTATGATTGCCTAACATATACATGTACCATATATATTGTATAAAAGAAGCTCTATACAACTTTTGTAACATATTTCTAGTCAGTTTAAACACTATATCAAAATGCATTTATCACCCAATTAATCCCTCAATTTGTTCATTGAAAAAAAAAGTATCTTAACATAACTTGTGCTCCCATTGGTCAGAGATAAAAAGTTGCAGACAGCTTGCTGTAACAGAATAGAAAATGTTCTGTCCCAAACCGTGACCTATACAACTCTTGGAAATAGGCCTTTAGTTTCCAGGATTGAACTACTTAAGTTGATACGAGTGAATATTACGATGGAAATATCTGCTCAAGCAAGACAATCCGTAAATCAAAATCTCGTCCAAAACATGGCAAAATCGAGATTAAAAATTGCATAGTAGTGGACTTTTCCACGAAGAACAACGATCAGGTTTTTTGAAAAGCGCAAACCTGGTCTGCTTCGCGCGCAACATCCGCCATAGGACAACACCACGAGACACAATCAAATCAGGCAAGATGCAAGAAACAGACTTGTATCATGTTTAGAAGTCCAAGTAGGATGCGATAGTCTTTTCTCCGCCAAATTCGACAAATATCGATTAAAAATTCACTTGATTTAGCATTACTAAATTCTGGAAGTAGAGTCCCATGCACATGTGATTTAAAGGCTTAGTAAAAAAAAAAAATGACCGATTTTGTCCGGCGTAGTAGTGAATTAAAATCCCCGATTAATTGTATGTCACCATCAACACCTATAGATGCCACCAATAGGCCTATATAATTTATATAAATATGTTGATGGATCTCGTATAACTAACGTTCAAAAGCTGTTTATATATCCCAGAAAAGTTTTCAGTAGGTGCCATCATCAGTTCTAAAAGAGCTGTAAATACAAGTTTTTGGTTGGTTGCATCTTCACAGTGTCCACCTTTCACGTATCATGGAATGCAACGATTTGGTTGGATTGTTTATAAGCGAATATAGTCAATTAATTCTACGGAGTGACGAACTCACTGACGTACTGACGTATGAGGTAGCCCTGACTCAATACAGTCATTCATAGCCCTCGACAAACATATTATGGCTTCTATCGAGGTTTCTGATTACCTGTAGCTGCCCACCCCAATCCCGTCAATGAAACCCTGACTTTGCCACTGCTCTTGAGTAGTAAGTGTAGGCTATGGTTTTCTGTCGTCAAAGGGCTGAACCGTGGAAAATAATGTGACCTTGATCGTTTCTGTAATAATAGTAAAGGTCAAGCTTTCCTATAATGAGATGACGTCAAATATTGTTACAATAAACAAGGACTTGATGTAACAGTAAGTTCTATGATGTAACCAATGGGGTGATTGAAGAATTCTAACTATCATCATGGGGGATGGAAAAAATATGTCGTGTTATGGAAAGAGGGATCTTGGTCCTTATGAAAGGGCCGGATCATGGAAAACAACTGTTACAGTAAGGAGTTATTTCAACGTGATAATATTTTTTCTCCCGGAGAAAGCATAAAGAAATAAGACATTAGCGCAAGGATAGACCTGTGGATGAATCGAGAAAGGAGCTTATTGCATGGGCGCAGATCACTTGATGGGGGGGGGGGGGGGGGGGGGGGGGCC